TGTGTGAAGTCAGAGGCAATGCATGAATCAATTAATAGAATAAATAATTTTGAAAAAAATAGGTATATATTAAAAAAAATTATGTATTAAAAAAATTGAAAAATTGATTTTTTTAGTATTTGAAAATTAAATGAGAAATTCATTGTACATCTGTAAGATTTGAGACACTGGATTCTTTGGAAGTGTTGTCTTTAAGGGGAGAGTCTGGGTCAAAATAAAAAATTTTGACTTTTTCGGTTTTTATACTCATCTTAAAGCTTACATTCTGACTCATCTAACGGTACCAAAACCATCTCTGTGTGTTGATTTATGCGTTCACCGTTCACGACAGATGGCAAAAGGGTTAGGGGTGGTTGAGTTCCTTAACATTTAATATAGGCCTAAATTACCGGGAGCACACTTGAATAGCTAGTCTGAACACGCTGTGCTTCAGTTATCCCCCTGCAGTCATATGGGATGGTTCTCGTGCCGTTGTTCGCTCCATCAATGACAGAAATTGAGCCTCAATATCGTGTAGTCTTGCAACCTTGCACCCTTGAATGTATTTTTTGAGGCGTGTGCGACTTTGTCGGGCCCTACTGAAAAGTTGACTTACTGTCACTGCAAACCTATCTCCTCCTAGAGTTTTGAAGCTACATCAATGAGACAAACACCATTCTGTCCAGTATCTAGAATACACCGTTTGATGCTGACAGGCAAAACCTTGAATGGATCTGTCTGATCTACTAATTAGACGTAGATAGACCTGAGGGGTTTTGGTTCATTTATAAATTGTCCGAATAACAGATTAAATACTCATCGGCCAGGGAAGGATAAATAACAAGTCGTGTATCTAAGCTTAAGAATTGAAGAAAGGTTCATGGGATACACTCGATAGAAGTTACAGGATCAAGCACAGTATGTGCAGTAGATTGGGAGATAGAGTTAACGACACTACATATTGGTCTGAGTGCCGGAGTCTGCATGACTGCAGCTGAAGGCTGTCTGCCTAAGACTGAGACTCTGCTGGGACTGACTAAACAGTGCGCTCTGAGAGCTTATATACTCGGTGACCCGCAAATAGTAATGTCACGGAAGGTGACGTAATAGTCAGTAATGACATCAATCCCGGACAATTCGATTTGTAAAAAAAAAGATCTACAAAAGTGTGTATGCATTTTTTTAATTTTGTTATAGTTTAGATTTTATTCTGCAAAAGGAAAGGGGGGGGCGAGGGGTAAAACCGAAAAATTTCTGAAAACTTTACTAAAAATGCTCCCACACCCACAAAATGAGAATTTCAAAAAACACAGACACACTTTTTTAGATATGGTCTTTACGCATCGAATGATATGTGTTTCGATGTTGTAGCTTGAAAATCCTAGGAGGAGATACCCTATCAAAATTTAGAGTCGCCTCAGCTTCTGGTAATCCAAATCAGAAGCTGCTGCTTTCTAAAGTACCCCTTTTTTGGCCGTTTTCTATGAATTCAACGTTTTCCTTCATTTTTTTTTTAAATTCACACGGAAAAAAAGTCTTAGAATTCCGTTTTACATAGGTATGTGTACCAAATTTCAAATCGATCCATCTGTAAATAACCGAGATAAATTTGACCCCAGACGCTCCCCTTAAAAAGTAATTTTTAAATGTATATTATTCAAAATATTTTCAAAACTACAATGGAATTGGAAAAAAGCTACAGCCAATCTCTAGATCTTTTATTTGCAAATCAAATGATACCGTCAATCGGGGTAAAAAGGGATGGGCGGGGTAAATAGCAACGTACGTCCCACATTTCGTAGAAATGTTGTAACAGCTAAACTAATCAAAATATTGCAAAACTAAAAATTGTGGCGTAAACTTAAATATTTTAACTATCTATTATGTATAAAGCTAGTCAAGAAATCAAACATTTACTATCTCTAAAAAATCGCTGAAAAAAAAGTTTGAAAAGTGCTATTTTGGAAAAGTACCGTACCTCTGCTAAGGTCTGAAGCAAAAAAAAATTGTCGCCATATTTAAAAATTTTACTTACATAAAAGTTGCACCCAGGTGTCAGCTTGAAAACTTAATTGATGGAATTTGCCTATCTCATTCCAAAAAAATAATGGCAGTATTTCCGTGCAATGGGGTAAAAAGGGACGCCCCCCTGGGGTAATTAGGTACACCATGAAAAAGGCATTTACAGTAGAACCTCAGTTAGAAAAGGCTCCAGTTAACAAAAAAAATTGATTAACAACAAAGAATTATGATTACATTTACCTTGCTCAGCAAAAAAATTTCACTTATCGAAAAATTAGTGCATCATTGGTCGTCACAAAATTGTACATAGAATGCTATATATAGAATTGTGCACTGGGCATCATAGAATGAAAAGTGATTGACCTAAACTATGATTTATTTCTCCGAAACATATGATGGTTGTCACTAAAAGATTATTTTTTGTTTCAAGTATGTTTTTCACAATCTTTTTTTGTTATAGTGAAATCACTTGACTCAATTAAAATTGTGCAAAATTACAAACCATCCTGTAAGCTTACAGATACAGAAGAAATGCTACATGGCTGCTGATATGAAACTTGCAGTGGACAAGGTTGTTGTCAATGCTCAATGGCATGTCCATGGATACAGTAATATCACATTAATAATATGGTAATGAATATGGTAATATCATTTCAATAAAGGAAAAACAAGTAAAAATCACAGAAAATGTCATTTATTTTACATCTACATCATCTACAATGAAAGAGGAGGACTTCAGAGTATTGTTAATAATGGATGAGTACACTCTGCATGCTTCAAACGTTTTAAAATTAACTTTTATTGCAAGTGTCCTGGATTACCCCGTTCCCAGGGGTAAATCGGGTCGGTTTTATTTTGCGTCTGGCACCTTACGAATAGCATATGGAATTTTTTTGAAGATGCCATTCAATAGCCCTCGCAAAGAGTTATAAAATGAGCCTAAACTTGTTTCTGAAATGTTTCATGGTAAGAAGTTGTTAACATAAAATGCTCAAAACCATCCCTTTTTACCCCGTTTGACAGTGTATCTCTCATTGCTGTAGCTTCAAAACTGTAGGAGGATTTTGATTTGATTTAGATTAGATTTATCTTGCCCAGAAAAAAATTCACTTGACGAAAAATTAATGCATCATTGGTCGTCACAAAATAGTGCATAGAATGTCATAGATATAATTGTGCACCAGGCAACATAAAATGAAAAGTAATTAACCTTAACTATGATTAATTCCTCCAAAAAATATGATGGTTGTCACTAAAATATTCCTTTCTGTTTTAAGTATGTTTTTATGATCTTTTTTTTTTATAGGTAGTGAATTCACTTGACCAATTAAAATGGTGTGAAATTACAGGGTGCGCCACAGAAACTTACTTATTTGAAAAGTCAATAAAAACAAAAGTACTTCAGTTATCGTTTTAAAATTTTTTTATTCGAGAAAACAGTATCCTAAATTTTTTTTCATACAGTTTTGAAAATTAAATCTCATAAATGACGGCCTCCATTGCGCATAAACTAATGAAGTCGCTTTTTTATAATGGTTTCCACTCTATGCAGCATATAAATTGGTATTTTGGCAATGACGTCGCAAATGTTGTTCTTGAGGTGTGCTATGGTCCGTGGTTGATCAACATAAACCAGAAATTTCAAATATCACCATAAAAAGAAATTGCATGGAGTCAAATCTGGAGAGCGTGGCAGCCATTGGAGATCGCCTCTGAGAGAGCTGAGGCAGTCTGATAAATGTTGTCGCAACAAATTCATTGAGTCTCGTGCTGTGTGTGTTGAAACCACATGTTCCTAACATTCATTTCTTTGAGTCTTAGAACAAAAAATTCCTCGATCATGTTCCTGTAATGAGCTCCATTAACGGTAACTGCGCAATTGTTTTCTTCAAAAAAATAAGGACCAATTATTCCCATTACCGACATCGCACACCAGACAGTAACTCGCTCACAGTTAAGTGGCTTCTGGTGAAGCTCCCATGGATTTACACCACACCAATAACGCAGGTTTTGCTTGCTGACGCAGCCAGAAATGTGTAAGTGAGCCTCGTCACTGAAAAAAAAGACCGCGTCTTCAGGCAGGTTGTCAACCAGCATTTCAAATGCATTTGACAGGCAACAAAATTGCGTTCAGTTAATTCATGCACAACAGCAAATTTATTTGAGAAACTTTGAGAAACAAACTTGGGAATTTTCCCCTTCAGATGCACCCCCTCTTGCCCCTCTACCCGACCAACTAACCGCACAGGAAAGTCAGGAATTTTTTCAAAAAAGTAAGTTTCGCTGGCGCACCCTGTACAAGCCATCGTGTAAGCTTACAGATACAGAAAAGAGCTATATGGCTACTGATATGTAGTTTGCAGTGGACAAAGTCATTGTAAATGCTCAATGGCATGTTGTGGATATGGTAATATCACATCAATAATACAGTACTAATGTATGGATATGGTAATATATCACTAAAGGAAAAAAAAGTAAAAATCACTGAAAATGTCATTTATTCTAAATCTACATCTTCTACAAATGAAGAAGAGGACTTTAGAGTACCTACTGTTAGTAATGGATGAGTATGTACACTTGGCATGCTTTAAACGTTTTGAAATTGAGTTTTATTTCAAGTGTCCCGGATTACCCCACTCCCAGGGGTTATTCAGGATGCTTTTATTTTGCTTCTGGCACCTTACAAATAGCATGCAGAATTTTTCTGAAGATGCCATGTGATAGCTCTGAAGCTCTCGCAAAGAGCTATGAAATAGGCCTAAATTTGTTTATGGAATGTTTCATGGTAAGAAGTTATTAACAAAGAACACTACAACCATCCCTTATTACCCTGTTTGATGGTATTTTTGCTCTTTGAAATCTTTGAGCTTGTTCTGCTTGAATTGCAAAGCCATTAGCTGTGATGCTCAATTGTTTCAGAAAATTGCCATGACTTGCCAAATCAAGACTGGTTTTGAAATTAAATATTTATCTCAACTACAACAATTTTTCTGGTTCAAATATTGCAAAGATTGAAGTATTGTAATATATATTTTTTTAAACAGGTTATAATGTATAACAGACTATCAGTTCAGAATGGAAGATACTAGTGATTGGGAATTGAGCAAAGAAAACATTCAGCCTATCCGTCAAGGCCGAGAGTTGGGTTCTATGATAGCTGGACTTGATCATAATGCTCAGCATCAACTAAACAGGCAAAGGAAGTAAGTTAACATTGTTACCCATTCATATTTTTCAAAGTTTTTGGCTGGACATTTAATTTCCTTTTTGCAAAATCTTCCATTAACATCATCTCCATAAACTCATATATACAATCCTCAAAGAGATGAAATTAGTCTTTAAAATTACCTTGACTGTTAGTTTTTAATTTCTATACCAATTTCATTTAAACATTTCATGATATTTAACTTAGAATTGTATTGTGAGTTATGGAACATTACTTTCCTTCATTCATGCTCTCGTGAATACCTATAATTCTTCATAATTTTATGTACACAAGCACCACTGGCAAAAATTTCTAATTTTTAGTAGTATGTATATCTTGAACTTTGTAAAAATTTGTTAAATTGATTGACTTGAATTTTTTTACATTCTGCCATTTATATGTAGGTATATGGTATCTGAGCTGCCTCTTATCTATATATGCCACTATCTATCATTCCACATACCTACTTATAAAAAGAATTAAAATTTTAAGTTTGATTTTTTAAATTCATTACATATCAAACTGTGCCCTTGATCTTTTTTTTTTTTTTTTTTTTTTTTTGTTAATTTTAGTCAACCTCTGCTATTTACATCTGTTTTTAAGTCAAGTTAATGTTAATTCATCTACTGCCTTAGTGCCTTTACACAATAACTTCAGGCTAACTGATATATGATAGTAGGTATATAGGTAGATCATCCTCACTGCTTTTCTTCTCTAGTCATTTAATCTTGTGAGAAAACAAACTTATTATTTTGTATTTTCCAGTGCATTTGAGACGGAACTGCGTTCATACACTGGTCCTGATCCTTTGGATGTGTGGCATCGTTATGCACTCTGGGTGGAGCAAAACTATCCCACTGGTGGAAAGGCTAGCAAGCTGATGCCACTGCTGGAGAAATGTTTCAGCGACATCAATGCCAGTCCTGAGCTCATAAAGCAGTATCAGAACGACACTCGTTTCTTGCAATTATGGCTTAAATATGTTAGTAACTATATTAATCTTTGTTTAAACATGGATGATTAATGCCAGGAAATTCATTGATTTAAATTTGCAGGTCAAAGAATTTTCTTCAGGTGACTTGGTTGATCAAAATGCTCATTTATGAAAGCAATTTAAGTGCTGTGTGTAGTTTGGGGTTTGACATTGTTGACCTGGGTTTCACAGAACCTATTGAATTCATCGTGGATCTTAAGGAAACCGGCTCAACTCCGGAAAAACTACTTACATTTATCAACCAATCTTTCTGAAATTTCACGCATATATGTAAACCATAAAAATAACATTTTGCTTGTATGAGTTTTCCGTAAAAATGAATGAAAACATGAAATTAATAGAAATTGGCAAGAAAGGGGGTACTTTATAAAGTTTATAACTTTTGCAAATCACAAGCTACAATATCGAGACACAACTCATTTGATTCTTAACAAAATTATCTAGTGGCTCTTGAGCTCCAATTTTCCCCATTGTTTTTTTTATGCATGTTGTTTCATTTTTGCACGTTTGTCTGTCCCCCAATGTTATGAAATGATCAATTTATAAAAGTTCAAAACTGCATTATGCAAAAAATATTGCATGTACATCCATGGTATTTGCTTTGTTGAACACGTCTTGTTTGTAGCTTTCAAACGAGTGTAAACACTTTGCAATTAACTGGAGTAATGATCTATAAATACAGATTAAATTCAAAGAAATCTTTGTACGTATTGTTAAAAAAATGTTCATTTTATATATTTTTTAAATTGCTTTATGCAAAGACTAGAGCACGCACATACATGTGGTTTGTTGCGTTAGATGTGCCTTTTCAGCAGCTACGAAATGAGCGAAAAAAATGGAAAAGCAAAAGTTTTCTATTTTTCACCAAGCCGGTCCCCTTAAGATGAAGTTGCTTGATTGAAATACCTTGAGACAGTTTGAAATATTTTTCTGAGTTATCAAATGTCATATTTTTGATTTTGCTGTTGGTTAGTGTGATTTTTATCTGTAGGTAATAGTTCAGCTATGTGCCTCACAGTTATCACTTTATCTCTCTCTGTCAGGTCACACAGAAGTTAGTATTAGATGGCAGAATAAGCTTGAATAAACACTAATGCTTCATATCAGAGAATTCATTTATTTACATTTTTGGGGCCAAACAATAATCTATGAATTTAAATCTATGTTAAAACTAATCTATAATTAAATTTAATGAAAATAAATAAATTTGATTGAACCTAAATCTATAAAAATCAATGAATTTTGATTCAAAGAAGGTATTACACTTCTTCATTATTTGGACTACATTGGAGTACATAATTGGAGTAACAACTATGACATTGGGCAGCCATTTATCCTGTCACCTGAGACAAGCTTGCCATCTAACCAGGTCACGAAGCAATACAGTCGATCAACTTCATCTCAAGATCATTATGAAATCAACAGGCTTGATGGCACCATTGACATTGACATCAAACCCCAAACTATTTAGCAGCAATGGCCTCTTTAAAAAGTGGGTGTTCTTCAAGAATCTGGTGTAATCCATGAATTTTGCTTCAAAGAAGGTTGTAGACTTCTTCATTATTTGGACTACAGTTAAGTAATTGCAGTAACTACTGTACTACAATACTGAGCAGCCATTTATCCTGCCACCAAAGACTAGCTTGTAACTAGACCAGGTCTCAAAGCATTAAAATTCACCAACTTCATCTAAACATCAGCAATGAATTCAATGTGCTCTGTGACACTCTTGACAATGTCAGACCAACAAGACTGCCACTTGTGCTGTGCTGGAGGAACCCACCAACATTGTCATCTTGCAATGGTTTGACATCATCCAGCTGACATTAACTGAAGCCCTTATCTCTATTCATTGGACTCCAGCTGTCCTTCTCATAACTACTGGATTCCCAAAACTTTGAGATTGTTTCAATGTTATTTTCACAGTCTAAAATTTTCTGGTTTTATCATATTTTCATGTTTCATATACTTATTTCCTTCAAAATTTCTGTACTCAATTCTTCTCAAAAATTGAAAATGAATGTTGTTACATTCAAAATGTCAGTAATAAATTGAAATTACTTCCTTAAACCTGCATTTTGATCAACCAACATCATTTGAAGAATAGTGTTCGACCCTGACAATTTAAATCAACAAATTCTCTGGCTTTAACTATACGTGTTTGAAGAAGCTTATTTAGCCATTTAATAATAATATAGAAGTTTAAGAGATGAGCTTATTTATTGTTCATCTAGTTAAAACTGCCTGTCTGATAAAAATATTATCCTAGGTTTGTTAAATTGATGTGTTTTTATATAATAATGAATAGTGTTATATTAATGAATAGAGTTGAATTAGTTACATATTACTGCTAATTTTGTTTTCCATGTAAAAATTTGTTTAAAAAGTTTCTTTGATCTCTTTGCAAGTTTTTTTTATTAATTCATCCATGTGTAATTCATCCCTCCACTTTTCTTTCAACTTTTTTTTCAGGCAAGCATGTACAAGGATCCAATAGAAGTTCTCAATGTGTTAGAGAAGAAAGGCTTATGCACAGAACTTTCAGGGTTCTACGAAAGATATGCCTTTGAAATGGAGGCCAGTGGTAACATGAAGAAAGCTGATCTCATCTACAAGACTGGCCTGGAGAGAGCTAAAGACTCCACACTCAAACTTGCTGAAGCTCACAAGTGGGTTTTGTCTTTACTTATTATTATTTTTTTTTTGTTTGGTTGTTATTCTGTTTTCTTATTAATCATGATTGACATTGCCTTAAGTTGTAAGATCACAAAGCTTTTGATTTGTGCAATGCACTTGTTTAATTTGATTCAGTTGATAAATCCCTAATAATTTTAGCTCCATGTTTTTGATCTGTTAAAATGCCTCTGCTGTGATTTTAGAATTTTGATATCATAAATTAGGTAAGATTAATACATTTTTGTGTAGTACCGGTTTGTCTAAAATTTTTCATTACTCGTTTTGAAGCTATTAAATCAGTGTTCAATCTTTTTCATGTGATTTTTAAAGGAATTTCTTTCCATGAAGTTTAGTGTTCAACATTGTTGTACAAGAGTTTTTAGCATTTAAATAAAATTTAGTATGAATATCATTAACTTGCATTAAAATTTTTCTCCGAATATCTTGGGTATATACATGTTAAAAGGGCTAACTCACTTCCTTTCAACTTGTAAGTAGGTACCCTTCATCAGTTTTTCTGTTATTACAGGGATTTTCAAACTCGCATATTTCTTGCCTCAATGAACAAGAAAGATGATGATGATGATTATGATGAAGAGGGTCCTCAGAGAATAGCTTTATCATCACTGAAATTAGCCAAGAACAAAGCTCCAGTGGAGCGTGTTGATGGAGCAGTTATCGGAGGAGCCGGCAAAGTGATGTTGTCTGGCAGCATCGGGCCAACTGGCAATGTCCTATCTTCCGCCTCTTCCACCAAACACAATATATATGAGGTTATTATGACTTAGTTTGTAGCTACTCAACATGTACTTGATAAACTTTCATTCCATGCAATGAACTATGTAATTTTTAATTCTACTGTACATGTCAATGAAATTTTAATATTTTTAATTCCAGCAGCTTTTTTACTAAAACAATAAATATAAACATGACTGTGCAACCACTGTCTTGAAAAAATGAGAAGCTATGTGTATCATGCAATTGCTAATACCCGGTAACCACAATTTTCCACAAAATAGGTTGATGAATATTCCTTATGAAAGAGAACGAATGTAAATTTTAAGTATTGGTCAATTAAAGTGCAAAATATTTGTAGTAATTAAATGATGACTTGGTTTATATTCTCAGGACAATCCTGCAACAGAAATGGATAAAGAAACAAACTCTTCTGCAACTCAAGGCAGTGAGGCTACAAAGCTTCCCTCCGTGTCACAATATGGCAAAGAAAACCAGCAGGCAGCGGGCAAGTGGAGCAAGAAGACTGTGGCGGCAGCGCCTGTCAATATTCCCATTGACCAGATCAGCAAATACTCCAAAACTCCTGTGACTAGTAAGTTACTTTGCTATCATTTAGAGGTGTTGTTTGATTTATTTTACCCCTATGTCCCTGCTCTCGTAAACTGTCAGCCATTCTATTTGTATTTAAATGTCTTGTAATTAGAGTTACTATGGGTAGACCAAGCGGTCATGTAATAATATTTGATTCTCTTGACGTTTTATGTGCAATACTGTACTAGTGTGGGCAGTTCGTTTATAGTATTGGTTGATATTATTCATGAGTTATTATGAGGTATGACCACCTTAATTTACCTGAGTTCAATGTTAGTTAAATACTTATTATATTTCCATCGCCAAGTTTTCATCGCCAACACATACGTAATAATATACCTACATGCATTAAAAACGCATATGTTCATCTTTGTTCGAGTTAAGGTTAAAATGAAATTAAACCTAATGCATCTTTATGCTAATAATGTATATCTATAGAAATACATTATGTATACTGATATAGAAGATAGAACTATAGATACTGAAAACGTTCAATTTCTCACTCAAGCTAAAATTTTGCATGCCTTGCAGTTTACCACGACGAGGACGTGCAGCAGCGGCCGCGTCACTTCATTCCACCCTGTAACAACGTACTCAAGGAGTGGAAGAATCCTGCAAGTGATGCCCAGAAAGACGTGATCCAGCCTTTCATTCCTGAACCTTTTGATCCTTTAGTCCGGCCCTACTACGACAGACAAAAGGTCAGGTCTAACTCTTTGACCTGTAACTTCCTTAACTATATTTGGGGGAAATGATTTGAGATGAGGCAAGGGTTTTCTTTGTTATATCAGTATACTACGTTTAGTGCCACACAAAATTTGGTATCATATATGGATGTAAATGATGTAAATAATTACAACAAATATGGGAGTTCTTGTAAAAATGGAAATGGTAAGATAGTGAGGGTAATATGCAATAGGTATTTTATTCCAAACTATTCCACTTTTTCTTTATTTTTATTCAGTAAGAAACATAACATGCTGCATTAATTCAGCATCATTTCAAACTATACTTGTTTCCGTGCCAAACCCTGCAAATCTGTCACTAACTCTTTTTATCAAAAGCAGTGATCGCATCAAACTTGCAATGCTCTATGTATTGTTAATATCTGATTGGTCTGCGCTGGTGTTGCCGAATGGTTGTGACGTCACGCTTGTTTGGTCGTGAGATTGCTTTGTGCTGCGCTCTGATTGGTTCGGGGAACGCCGGTAGCCTACGTGGCGTGGGCTGGCTGTTACGTGACGCAAGTTGGTGGCAATGCAGAATAATGCAGTTGGGGACAGCAGTGTAGCGTGAACCATGATAGGGTGAGCATCTTGTGAGCGTGTGCTATTAACATGTATGGCTGAAGTAGAAGTGGGGAGTGTTTGATATGAGGGAAGTGACACTGGGTCTCAATTAGATAACAAGCAATGGGATTATTGGGAGTGAGGACGGGTGTTTTATTGTGTGAAGGAAAAAGTTGTGAATCTGGTGTTGAGGATGTGAGAAAAAAACGAGTTACGGAGGAGGGTGTTATGAAGAACGTAGATGAGAAAACTGCAATGGGGTATGAAAGAAAACGGGAGGAGGGGATTATGAAGAACGTGGATGAGAAAACTGCAATGGGGTATGAAAGAAAACGGGAGGAGGGTATTATGAAGAACGTGAATGAGAAAACTGCAATGGGGAATGAAAGAACACGGGAGGAGGGGATTATGAAGAACGTGGATGAGAGAACTGCAATGGGGTATGAAAGAACACGGGAGGAGGGATCGCAACGATCGAGGGTTTGTCTGAGGGAACAACTGTGGCTGTAATATTTAAACAGCATATGAAGGCTGTAAGAGATTAAGAGGAATGGCGAGAATGTAGTGTTCATCTTTGGTGAAGAGGGAATAAAGATAAAAATTATCACCAAGAGCTACATTCTACAAACAACAGGAGGCAATCACCCTTTCTGTGTAAAGGTGTACTAACTGTAGTAGTGTTTGAATCTATGACTAGAGTTACGATATCATGGTATTCTTTCTATGAGCAATGCAATAGAATGAAGTTATTTATAGACAAAGGCTAAGAACGATGCAATATAAATGAAAGAAATTATTCAGACTCAAAATTTACTTCTCCAAGCAAAGACTAATAAAATATGCAATTTATCGTGCCATGTTTTGTTTACATATTGAAACCTGTTTTCTTTATAAAACTGCGCGCTTCACGCCGCTTCTTGCGCCGCATCTCTTTCTACTTTGCTAAGCTGTACATCTTTGATTCAGTGTCGAGTTATCTTTTATTCCTGTATACCATGTAGATCTATATTTTATATGTATATAAGTATCATTCTGTGTATTATATGTTGTATAAATATTAGCTCATACCAAGCAGTTCAAGTGAGATTTTGTAACCACAATCAGCGCTTTTTTGTATGTTGAACCCTAATTTTCAATTATTTATTTCGTATATTAGTAATGATAGACCCTCTATGAAATAGGTATAAATGATAAATAAATAGTGAAATAGTGATAGTGTAAAATTATGATGCGAGATTTTGTTTTATACACTGAAAATATTATTTTCTATCTCTTGGCAGCTTTATCAAGGCACTGAAGAATTTCAATTTGAAGAACTCCGGGCTATAGATTATTTTAAAAAAGAGAAATTGGCAAGAGAAGAGGAGGAGAAGAAGAAACAACACGAGTTGCTGCTGCTTCAGGTCGAGAACAGCAATGGTAACCCCTTGATTGGAAAATGTGTTCAGAATTTTGCATGCTGTTTGCTCTTGTTAATATTCAGAAAAGTGGAACATTATTGAAAAAAAAACTGATTTATCGTTTCTAGTTCCCCTTAAGACAAACTATAGTTTCTCTTTTATACTCTATTTTAATTAAACTATTTTTTGCAGCTGCAATGCTCTCAATGCAAGACATGCTGAGCAAGCAACAGAAGATGATTGAATTACTGACCAGTCAGCAGCATTTGGCAGCAGTTGCTCCTGCAGCGGCAGTGGTGACCCCTCATCATGCAACGATTGCTGCTCAACAGACAGCAGTGGATCAACAGTCTAACATCCAACAATTCCAGGGTGTAGCTCAGCAAGCAACGCTAACATCTCAACAAACAACAGCAGTGGATCAACATTCTAACATCCAACAATTTCAGGGTGTAACTCAGCAAGCAATGCTAACCTCTCTACAAACAACAGGAGCCAATCAACAGTCTGGCACCCAACAATTTCAGGGTGTAACTCAGCAAGCAACGCTAGCCTCACAACAGACAACAGGAGCCAATCAACAAAATCAACAATCTAATATCCAACAATTTCAGGGTGTAACTCAGCAAGCAACGCTAGCCTCTCTTCAAATAACAGGAGCCAATCAACAGTCTGGCACCCAACAAGATGAGGGAGTTACTCAGAAAGATCCACCTTCTCACCAACCAGCCGCTAATTTTGACATTAGCAGTTTGAAAGCCGGACCTGCCCAAAAGGTCGGTCATTGCGTGTACCTCTAACGCTGTAGTTGTTGGTCTAGTTATAGCCTTTTATTAAGCTATGATTTAGTTAAGACTCCTGAAGTGAAAAAGTATATATACAGCACAGAGTCTTAATATTGAAAAATTCTGATTTAACCTCTCAGCTACAGGCACTTACTATGAGTCTTACTATGACGGTATATTGAATGTTCATCTGTATTTTTATTGTGCAGCCAAAGGCTTGTTTGTTTGAAGATAGTTGGATAGCCATAAACAAAACGGCAAACAACACTTCGGTCTTTGAAGGCGCTGCAGATCTCTCTATTCTGCCGCATCAGGTAGACCGTTTTTTATTCATTAGTGTTTTTGTTATGTAATCTGTGCAATGCAATCCCAGGCCACTCCAGCCTAGATACTCAGACTGGAATTTGTTATCAGGGGAATTGAAATTGTTGCTAAGAATTTAAAAATAGACTAAAATTTTTATATTGGAAAATAATTGTCGTCACTTGGATAAACTCTCCAACTGCATTATCAGCTTGATTCAGATTAGATACATCTTTATTGGTACCACTTTTCTACACGTTTGACGTCTGTTCTGCGTCTTGTTTACCTACTCATGAAAACCATATGTGAATTGCGCAAATGTTGGAGTTGATGCATTGATCCTAGTTCTACAAAACTTTTTGGTTCATTATTTTACATTAAAACTGAAATCGAATAAATATTTAACTTCTTCTATTGCTCACAGACTCCGGGTCGCAGCTTGCAACCCCACCTTAACCTGGCCCCTCAGCTGCACTCGACGCAGCTGCCGCCTTCTGCTGGATCCCTGTTACCCGACATCAACTTCACTGGGCTCCAGGATATTTCAGAGCTTTCGCTAATGGAACCTCCATGTAATATATTTTAATTCGAACCTGAGACACTATTTCCAATTTTGAAAGCCATCTTAAAATATACTGATTCGATTCGGATATTTGTATTAAGTATTTTTCTATATGGAAACAACAGATTCTCTCATTGTTTGAAGAAATACTTGGTAAAAATGTGTCAGTTTTTTTTTTTTAATTTCTATATTAGCCTTTAAAGTAGCTTGATTTCTGACTACAAACGTCCTGTTGTCTTCTAAGCGGTTCTTTAGTTCTAACTTAACTTGTTTGGTTGCATGTATCCTAACTTTACTTATGGTTCTGATTACTTTAATGTTGCTTTTATTTATGTAATTGAACAATTCAATTACAACCTATCCAGTTGTAGGGAATCTATTGTATTTTGTTATCTTCTTCATTCTCCATCACTATCAGCTTTGATAAACTCCTATAATTGTCAGGTTCTCCAGCCCGTGCCCTGGTAATACCACTCATCACTCTCACTCGGCCCACCCCTGAAAATAACGTATCATACCTTGTTGACATAGATCGTTGGGACTCAGAAGCATCGCCATCTCTAAGCTTTGGAAATAACGATGATTATTTCCTAGTATCCACAGAGCCATTTGCACACAAGTCTCTTGGTCCCAAAGTTGTTGCATCTGATGGCCTCCAAAAGCCTGACCCTGGCCAACAAACCATGATCTCCTCGCCAACTGTGAACACTAAGGAGGTAATTTAAGTAAATCAAAATCTGAAGCAAAATCACCGAAATATGTGACTTAAAATACTAATAATTTACGTTTAAAAATTCCTTTTAAAGAGAACACTTCCAAAGAATCCATCTCCAATCTTACAGATGTACAATGAATTTCTCATCTAATTTTAAAAAATTAACTTTTCATTTTTTTTAATATATATAATTTTTTTTAATATATAAATTTTTTTTTAAATTATTTATTCTGTTATTTGATTCATGCGTTGCCTCTGACTTCACACAAGTGTGCAAAATTTCAGATCAATTAGACAGGTAAAACTGTGTCAAATATCAGTTATAAGATTTGGAGCTGACAAAATTATTTTTCCAATTTTTTTTAATTTGAAAAAAAAAATTTTTTTAATAATTTATTTTGACCTTTGATTCATGCATTGTCTCCAACTTTACACAAGTGTGCAAAATTTCAGATCGATAGGACAAGTAGAAGTGTATTAAATTTTGATTACAAAATTTGTAGCAGACAGACAGACAGACAGACAAACAAACAAACAGACAGGAAGTGAAGTTAAAGAGAAGTGTTGTAAAAAGGTTATTAAAACCAATTTAAATCTTGAGCAACATCAGCCTGAATTGTGACTTATTTAAGCGCCAAAAATTATTATAAGTATCAAATACTACATTAAATCCACCCCATTTTTAACATTTTTGCAAAGCCAGTTGTATTTTCATCACTGGCTTTATTTCTCAAAAAGAAAATCCAAATGAATATTTGTTTTAGTTCCTAAAACAATCAATGATCATTAACCTATATGTTGATATTAGTTACGTTGACAATTTTCCTCAATGTCTCGTCTGCACTCTGGCTTATTCACAGGCACAGCGTCTCATGCGGGAGATCTGGTCCAAGAGCTTGAATAAAACTAACCTTGGACTGGGCATGGAAGATGTGCTGGGCGACAGCATGTTGCTGCCTGCGCCTCTGCCTACAGTGAGTCCTGTGATACGTATAGGTGAAATATTCCATGTGAGTTCAATGCTACCAATTCCTTAGTATACTTAGTATTTGTTTGGGACATAGCAGTCCCAGGCCACGATGGATCGCCGCCTCTGATTATCGTTCATCCGCCCTCATTTGGGCCACCTGATGCACGATGCTGTTGCTGTCTCTTATACACATCTAGATGTGTATAAGAGACAGCTGTAACACTGCACTGCCAGGGATCTCTGGCTCTGCAGCTGTTGCTGTGATTTCTGCTGTTGTTCGTGCAATGTCAACAGCTGCTGCATTTGTTGTTGAATCTGATCTACTTGCCTCTGTAGGCCTAAAAAATTGTTAATTCAAGTATAAATTCTGCCAGGTCATCATTTATTTCAATGAATGTTTATAACTTTCCCCTGTTTTTGCAGGATGATCTGGTCCCTGCAACTGAAAAACCCGCCGTGTTTTCAGTGTATTGTGACGCCCCATCTGGTGAAGAGTCCAAGAAGGGACTTAAGAAATCAACATCTCGTTCTTCGGGGCTCTCTGTTAGGCCTGTCGGTCTTTCGGAACGCCCTTCCCCCGGCCTCGCTGAACGCCCTTCCACCGGCCTCGCTGAACGCCCTTCCCCCGGCCTCGCTGAACGGCATTCCCCCGGCCTTACTGAACGCCCTTCCACCGGCCTTACTGAACGCCCTTCCACCGGCCTCGCTGAACGCCCTTCCACCGGCCTCGCTGAACGCCCTACCACCGGCCTCGCTGAACGCCCTTCCACCGGCCTTGCTGAACGCCCTTCCACCGGCCTTGCCGAACGCCCTACCGCCGGCCTCGCTGAACGGCCTTCCACCGGCCTTGCCGAACGCCCTACCACCGGCCTTACTGAACGGCCTTCCCCCGGCCTTACTGAACGCCCTACCACCGGCCTCGCTGAACGCCCTTCCACTGCTGCTGGTCTCTCAGTACGACCGAAGGACTCGGCAATTTTATTTGAAACGCGCTACTCTGAAACTCCCACTCCTGTCACGGTGAAGCCTCAGCATCAAAATAAATGTCCTAGCAATATCATGAAATTAATTGCCTTTATTTTTAATGTATCTTGATGCAGATATTCAAGCAGAGATCAGTGAGCCTTATTCAATAATGTACCTCCAAATTTACACTTATAACTTGTGATTTATAAGAATTTCCTTTTCAAAAAATAACCATTTATAACCGAAATTAAGCAATAACCATGGATAATCGTCACACAAAGAAATTTCCAAGTGTCAACTGTATAGCGTCTTAAATTTAGCAATGATTCCGAAGAGGAAGGTGACTTTACTGCTCTCTTTTCTGCTTGAATATTACTTGACAAGTTTTTCAAAATCCTGGTGTCATTACTACATCTTAACTTCGAGTTTGATGTGCACTTTATATACCTTCCTATATACAATGAATCAAGATTTTGATTGTGAGTGTCAGCAAAATATATTTTGTTCTTTATTTGTAGGTGGTTGAATCTAGATTTTGATTGTGAATGTTTGCAAAACATATTTTGTTCTTTATTTATAGGTGATGATTCTAGATTTTGATTGTGAGTGTTCGCAAAACATATTTTGTTTTTTATTTATAGGTGATGAATCTAGATTTTGATTTTGAGTGCTTGCAAAATTTGCAAAACATATTTTGTTCTTTATTTATAGGTGATGAATCTAGATTTTGATTGTGAGTGGTTGCAAAACATATTTTTTTCTTTATTTATAGGTGATGAATCTATATTTTGATTGTGAATTTTCGCATGCTTATTTTGTCTTTTATTTGTAGGCACATTTTTATTTGTCTTTTATTTGTAGGCACATGTAGGCACACATTTTATTTGTTTTGTATTTTTTCTTATTATTTCGTTCTCAGGACGAGAACGAACCTCCGGCTGGTTATTTCCAGATACCGCGGAAGCTCCCAAGGGTCGGCGTGCTACTGCCGATGCCACAGCTCTTCCCTCAGGAACAGCTGGCATACACCGATGATCAGGTCTCTATATCCTAATTATGTATTCGTGAAGAATTTAAATCAAAGAAAACGCCATGGTGATTGACGACATCATTTTTACTTGGACGAAAACCTCGTCTTGATAGAGATTGCAGTTCTTACAACAATTCTATTTAACTTCACTTCTTGTTGTTAGTTTGTTTACTACAAATCTTATAATGGATATTTAACACACTTCTACCTGTCCAATCAATTTGAGATTCTGCACACTTAGGTAAAATCGGAGACAATGCATGAATCAATTGGCAGAATACAAAAAAAAATAATATTTAACATAAAATAAGAAATTCATTGTACATGTGCAATATCAGAGACACCGGCCTCTTTAGAAGTATGGTCTTTCATAAGTACTTTTTAAACGCATATTATTTTCTACTTGAAATTGTTGATCAATGGGGCTTTTAGACTTCGTTGTTGGTTTTCCGTTTCTTAGGTTTCAATGCTTTTTTATGTACAGTATTTAGATTTTATTTGCCGATTGTGCATGTATTCTCTACATTTTTGGACTGATGATGGAGCTGGTCTCCAGAACGTTTTCAAGTCAATATTGTGAATAAACTTGGCGTTTTGTTTGCTTTTAAATTCTTGGTGAACCTTATTCATATTTATTTTTATACATTGCTTTATTTAAGCTGACTAACGAAACATGTCAACACTTATATTCGATCTAAGTACTTATGAATATCACAATTTTTCATGTATTTGAATGGTTTGGCTTAGTGGGGAATTTTTTTTTTTTTTTCATGAATAGTTGACTAGGAATCTACAAGTCACGTTGCATGAACATTACTGGTGTGTGTAAGGTTGTTCAGATCAAAGGTACGCTGTCAACTTGAAATTAAAATAGACAATACATTTTAAATGGAAAATAGTTTGTTCACTGGCTGGAGCGTTGCATTTGAATTGTCATCAATCTAAGTGGACAATCAAATTAGATATAATCAATCACCATTTACCATCAAATTTATCAACCAATCAGTCAATTATAAATCAATCAATTTCATGTGCCATTAATTCAAAACTTTTATATTCTCGCTAATTTTGTGCGTGCTTCTTACGCATTCTCTATACATTCATCCTTGTAAAATAATATTCAAAATATCTTACATTTCTGAACACGTAGCTTTGTATTCTAATGCTGATGAATATTCCAGTGTATGGACATAGACGACATGGAGATTCCTATGCCAAGCCAGTCCGACTTCAGTGATTTCCCGGAGCTGACCATGAAACTTCCATCGAACAAAGCTGATTTTGCTGACATCACCCACGTTGCGTCCACGCCTGGTGAGAAAATATCACCTAAATTGATAAATTCAATCCATTTATAAGCAAGTAAATATAAGTTTTTGCCAACAGTGTGCATTATGGTTACTTAAAGCCAAGCCATAGAATAAAGAACATTCTGAAGTACAAATAAATTCCTGGTGAACAACAATGCCCTTCTTTTACACATTCTTACTAACTCCCTATATTCAATTATCATCCAGATTAAAATTTTCTTCACCGCTTCTCTTCATTACCATAAGTTTTCCTCAATTAAAGTTAGTTATTTAATTTTTTCTCTCAAAATATTTCTCTCGTAATTTTTTTGCTTTACTTCTCTTATTGTGTATTTTCCCCCTATATTAAAATTTTCATTTTACGCCTCATTTCACTTATCTACCGCATTTTAATTTTTATTATTATTATTATTTTTTTTTTGTGCAGCGGCTTGGTGTTCACGCAACGTTCCACAAGTCTCGGTTGAAGGCGACGATTTCACCATGGCTTTCATGCCCGGATATAAACGGTAAGACGATACTACACTGAGATTTTTTTAATGATTAGGTATTCGGGAATTTGAACAAGTACCGTGAACATTTCGAATGCAAAGTTAGCTCGAACGGCGAGTGGGTTCAACATTTATTACATTTATTGGGACACTGAATGTTTTGGACATCAAATTATCAGTGCATCTAAGGTTTTTTAACAAGTTTTTATATTAAACGTTTCTTTTCATTTGACCTGACCTGACTCGTTTCAGTTTCATCACTCCTACTTGCTAATGTATTCTAGGAATAAATGCAGGCATGGTTTGAATTAACACTACTTCCAACATCTCAGATCATTCCGACCTCTTCCTGTCGTGGCCAAGAAGCCTGAGGTGGCCGACACTTGTACTACCGGCGCTGTCACTTCCTGTGCTGCGGACGCCACGTCCACGGATTCCAATGCCAGTTCTTCGTACGCCTCGGCTGAGGTTATGGCACGAGGGCAGCCTGTTGCACCACAGCTCAGCGTCATCATAGAGGGCTCGGATCACAGTGTTAAGTAAGCTTGCCTATTGATCTACTTCTACACCATTGAAATTTGGGTGAAAATCTCTTTAAGTCACTGTAATTTATTAAAAGTTGAATAAATCATGACACGGTCTTATTTATATTTTCATATATTATTCAAACTGGGAGAAATAAGAAGTTTTGTCAATTTTTTAGTCATAGGAATGTGTTAACAAGACTTCGCATGAGTCGACTGAATGTAGAGTAAATGTGTGTCGCATGAGCGCCGAAACTTGTAGCTAAAAGTAATTCGTATTTGACATACTCATAGATAAAATGTATGTATTGCTTGTGGGAAGTCGGGTTAATGACCTTATTAATTCAAATTCAGATGTCATCGACTTCTGTAATCTAGTTGAGCAGTTTTGAACACTGAATATTAGTTTTACAGGCTTAAAACTTCTTGGTGGGTGTGCATTGACTTATATTTAAATTATTACATGATACCAACAGGAGCACTACTGGCTGCAGTACTTTGACGACGACCAAGCCCTTCTTGTACGCAGTAAGTGTTCCACTTACATATCTTTGACTCCAGCTAGTTTCTATGTATTATACGCTTCATGTCGATTAATATCTGGGCGAGGGTTCCCTTATGATGTTGGAGTATTAATTCACTTGGATACACCATCCTTCTACAAAAGAACAGAACAATTTATAATATGTTTATTTGAACTGATTATTCTTGGTTATCTGATTGTACCCGACTAAAGTTAATTTTAAAATTATTGTATTGGTAGGATGAGACTTTCTATAACATATTTTTATCAGCAAATAATTTACACGGAGGTATGTGTGTACTCAATACCAAGTCTCAAACATCTCTGCTATGTGTTCAAGAGAGTTGAATATTATAATATTTTTATTGGGGTTACTTTGTAGAAAGCAAAAGATCGATGTAACGACATTTACAGTTTGCCTTGCCTAATTTATTTGTATTTAATCAGGGAGACGGAACGTTGTGCCGCTCAACTGATCACAGTAAGAGCACACAGATGATGGACCACATCTCGTTTGCCAAGAATTCCGGAACATGTGCTAAAATCAGGTCCATTAGTTACGCTGACGCCATTCCTGCTATTGGAAGCTCCCAGACTTGTGCCTTGAGGTCTGACCAAACCGATGCCTTGAGGTCTCACCCACCCGGCGCCATGACAGATGACCTACCCGGCGCCATGACAGCTGACCTACCCGGCGCCATGACAGCTGACCTACCCGGCGCCATGACAGCTGACCCACCCGGCGCCATGACAGTTGACCCACCCGCCGCTTCGACTGGGGAAAGGTTGCTGGACACTGAGAAGCGTCGTGGCTCTGCTGATTCCCAAGTGAGAAACAAGATGTTGCCTGGCACTAAACGGAATAAATGTTATTCTTCTTTAAGATAAGCTTCAGGTTTTTCTTGTATAATTGCTGTAAAATTCAACTTCACGATTTTCATTTACCAATTCTTAGTGTTAATTTTCGAGTAGAAGTACTTCAGCACTTTTTGACAAAACTATTTCCATTACATCTTTTGTAAGGGGACCAAATTACATTTTCGGCTCTTTTTCGGACTAATTTTAGTTTCTATTTACGAGTTTAGTTTCTATTTAGCCTTCAATTCTCAGTTTTGTGTACCATTATTTATTTTTCTCACCTCAATTTTTTCTTGTCCATATTTTTCGTTTTCAGGCGTGCCAAAATCAGACTTCTTTTGACCCCGACAAGCTGAGCGAAATGCTGCTGAACATGTCCGGCAATGAACCTTTCTTCGCTGTTACCGCCACTACAGGCCGAGATGACAACAAAGATCTGAAGCGTCAACCATCCAAAGCTGATGACCAGAATCTGGCCGTATACACTGCAAGCTCTACTGAAACATCAATGCCTGTCAGTACTTTGTACCTTGGTCGAGCATTGACATTTTTTTTTCTGGTTGACATTTTATTACCTATTATTTACCCAAGAAATAGATCAATTCAGTAACCTTGCAAAAATTATGCTGTTGACGTAACAGATTAAAATTACAGCCAGCACTTTTCGTTTGCTTACTGATATAATCGTGCAATATAATAATAATCCCTACTCAATTTTCTTAGATATGCCGTAGGCATTCCATGACATTGTACAGTATTTTCTAATCGACTCTTCAATCACGTAGGTTCCACAGCGAACGACTGAGAACCCCGACGATATCGACCCATTCAATGAAGATTTAATATTAAATCTGCTACAAAATCTCAAAGTCCCGCTACATGATAGGCCCGGTTTCATCGGCTTTGATATCAAAATGCCCCTGGTGAAACCTCAGACAAACGTGAGTATAGCAGAGGGCCTATCGAGTTAAGAAATTTCCCAGTCATTGAGGGAAAGACCGACGTGAGTTTATTATGAATTAGAACCATATTGTGTTTCTTTGCTGACAACCAACCAATATACCATTTACGAATGTTGGGGCCCTGGTGGTCTGTCCTGCTTTCTGAAAACCCAACCGCATCGACTTATCAATATTATTCATAAAATTGAATAATCTTCAAATTTGAATGGCTGCAAGGACTATGATTCATCTGTCCAGAATTTTAGCTCCTCAATCCGAAACTCAAATGTATTACTACTTTGTAATTTTTTTACTCGTGTATAGTGGTTTTGGTCTACGTAATTAGTACCGTGACAGAGATGTATTAATTTCTGGTACAGGTTGGACTTCATTATTGCACATTTCAAATATCCATGCATTCCCCAGGTAACTTTAGGCACTGAACACTTCCACGTACGGCGTATCAAAGGCCAGGGGGCATACGCTAAAGTCTACCAGGCCTCGACTGTTGATGCGATGAATGTCACTCTCTTGCCTGATCAGATTCCTGAAGAAGAGGATGACAAAAAACAAGTAAAATACTCTTATTTGCATTGAAGGGATTTTTTTTACTTTGGTTTTGTTCTTTTTGTTGTTTAATGTACATGAATATTTTTAAGAATGAGGATAAAATTGCATATAATGATATATTTTAATGGTTTTATTGTAATTTGTCTGATGTCATTTTATTTTATTTTCAAAGTGCTTTATGCTATTCAGTGAAGTAATTGATTAATCTTGTAATTGATTTTGATTGATTCATTGTCAACAACGGTAAATCTAGTTACTGGTCAGTGACTGTATTGCCGAAGGTTAATATGGCAGTTTCATCGACTATCTGGTATCCTCTTTTTACTATCGCTAATACATCTGTTTGTTTTGGCCAGATGATACTAAAGGTTCAACGCCCAGCTTTCCCTTGGGAGTTCTACATCTGCCACGAGCTGAGACAACGCCTTCGTCAGGCCGGCCGGCCTGCCAACATACTGGAGTCCGTGATGCGTGCGAACCGTGGCTACTTCTTCAACAATGGCTCCATCCTCGTCACTCAGTACCACAAACACGGCAGTCTACTCGACCTCGTCAACGCGTAAGACCTATGCCTGACCCTGTAGCTACTGACGGTTACTCCACTCTCTAGGCCTACCTGTGTCTGACCCTGAGTCTACTGACGGTAACTCCATTTACTAGGTCTCACTGTGCCTGACCCTGAACCTGTGTCTACTGACGGTAACTCCATTTACTAGGCCTACCCTGTGCCTGACCCTATTTCTATCGACGGTAACTCCACTTACTAGGCCTTCCCTGTCCCTGACCCTGTGTCTACTGACGGTAACTCCACTTACTAGGTCTCACTGTGCCTGACCCTGAACCTGTGTCTACTGACGGTAACTCCACTTACTAGGCCTTCCCTGTCCTTATGTCTACTGACGGTAACTCCATTTGCTAGGCCTCCCTGACCCTGTGTCTACTGACGGTAACTCCACTTACTCGGCCTCCCTGTGTCTGACCCTGTGTCTACTGACGGTTACTCCACTTACTAAGCCTATGATGTTAATAACATTAGCGATGATTAATGCATATGTAGAAAAAGGGTTGAAACTTTTAACGGTAACTCCTGTTAGAGAATTTTTAGATATAAAAAATATCGGAAACGAGTAATGCATCTATCAAAATTGGATGAAAAATTAAAAGCAAGGTTAAATATTTTTATTTCTCGATTCAAGTTTTGATGCAGAATTTAGGACGAAAGTTATAATTTCTTTTTTATCTCGGTGTATATATATGCATTTTGAAAATTATTCAGTCGAATTTTGAATTTTTTAGCTTTCTTGACTCACTCCTTTATTAAATTTGCTTACTTATGGTATTCTTAGTACCTGGACCTTCCTAGACATCTAAAATCAATATTGACATGTTTTCCTTGAAAAGGTACAAGAAGAAAGGCCAGACTATGTCAGAACACGTAACAATCTGCTTCATGATTGAAGTGCTGATGATTCTAGAAAGTGTGCACTCTGCTGGAATCGTCCACGCCGATATCAAGCCGGATAATTTCCTCGTCAAAGGCGTTCCCGTCATTAACGCCTCGGCAGCATCTGCTGATGAAATGTTCTCTGAGTGTCCAAGCTCTCTCAAGCTCATCGATTTTGGCCGCAGCATCGACATGACGCTGCTGCCCAAAGGCACGACGTTCAAACGAAAAGTGGGTAACTTTTAGGCAAACTAAATGTTTTCTCACAAATATTTGTTTATTCTTTCCTGCAAATGGAGTTTCCCTTCCTTTTGGGTCAACCATGCCACGTAAAAAAACTCCTATTTGCCTAGACTAGCTGATCGACCAAACAACGCTTATAACGTTGTTCACTGAATAACCTCTACATATCGAGAACTTCGAGCTTGGATTTATATTATATAAAAGATAGATGAAAATACATGGTGTGATGGATTCTTTGGATGAAAACTCGTGGTGAGGGTTATAGCCTTATAAGTTTAATCCATTTATGAACTAATTAAAAAAGTATTATCTCATGTTATTAACCTTCTCAAATCTCATTATGTTATTTATCTCATGTTATTAACCTTTTCAAATCTCATTATGTTATGTTATCTCATGTTAATAACCTTCTCAAATCTCATTTTTATTCATTTTAAATTGCGTTTCTTCAAAAAGGTTCCTCCTCTTTTATCATATTTTTACCCTCTTTCAGCTTAACTTTCTTTTCTAAATCGCATTTCTTTACTTATTTGTAAGTTATTTGTGCTTTAATATACCAAATTTATTAATTTTTCTGTTATCTTTTATCAATAAAAGGTTATTATATGATCTCTTATTCTTGCGGAGGAGGGAAATGACCATAAAGTTCTAAAAAAAAACTTTTTTGTATAGCCTACGTAGATTTGACGGTCATTAGAATTTGTTGATCTTAATCGCATTGTTAAGTTATTTGCTCATTTCTATAACTTAATATATGCTCATTTGCATAATGATTGATTTGATTCTAGGTTGTATTAGAAAATATTTCAGTTTGAGATCAATCGGTATAACTTTTAAACTTATGAAGAGCTTCTTCATGTTATTTTAGACTTTTCGCATTCTTTGAATTTTCAGCACAGTTTTCTCTTGATTTGTTTTTAAATCATGCACACTTTTCTCATACACAGTTCGAAAAACTGCACACTTTACTCATGAGGGTTTGTTTTGAAAAGTTTTCTCTTGATTCTTTTTATTCATGCACACTTTTCTCATGAACAGTCAAAAAAATATAACTCAGTAGTACTCACTGCCGTGAGTGACAGAGAGCGCATTTTCTCGTCGACGAAAACGAGAAGTCACAGACGGACGGACGTACATGGCGAGCACAATAGTGCATTTTTTCCATAAATGAGAAAATGCACTAAAAACTGTACAGTTTTCTCATGGTTTCTCTCACAGGTACTGGCAACAAGACGCTTGGCACAAGTTCTTCGACACGCTCCTCAACGTGCCGTCCTGCTCTCAGCTGCCCGATCTAGCTGATGTAAGTCGACAATTTGTTCCGCTTATTGTGGCGCGCTAAAGTGGAAATGAATTATTTCCACTTGAGTATTCACTGAATTATTATATCCATTCTGTGGAGTCTTGCTTGGTTGGATTGTATTATATAAGCTATTGTATTCTTGTATAAGCTTGTATTGTATGCTGGTATAAGCTATTGTATTATCAATATTTGTAGAAGTCACTGAAGTTTGAATTCTTTGTTCGTTACATTTTTGTTTAGATTTCATGACTTTTCACACTTTATTGGAGGTCACATTATTTATTGTAAATCACGAGCCCATTTGCTCAGCATTGAAAATATATTGGAAAATTAGGATACAAGGAGCTTTTTCCGAAAAAAATTATCTCTCGTAGGTAGATACTTGATTTAATTGCTTTTCCAGTAAATTTTAGTGTTGTTTCAGTGTACGTCTTCCATTGCCTTTATTTCAGTCTTAATGGAATGAATCAGTATGGATCAGTCTTCAGTCTTTATGAAATTCTTTTTTTTTTACATCACAGCTACGACGCACCTTGCAAGACGCTCTTTTCAACATCAAGACGCAGGAATTACCGTATCACCTGACGCAACTTCGCAGCATCTTGGCCGAGATGTCCTGAAAACAACACGTGGATGTTCACAAAAGACTGTGGTTTACGGCTGATACGCCAACATATGGTTTTATTGTCTGGCTTGCCTGCTTGTAGACCAAGATCTCGAGGAATCTTAGTTTAGGATTTTTTAGTTTCTGAATAAAAGTAGAGATTAGGTCCTGAATGAAAAACGATAATTGTGAGCATTAGATAGTTGTAATAACTGCCTGCTAATTGGTGGTACATTTCGAAGAAGCTATATTACTTCCTTTCGAGTAAATTATGTGATCTTTACATTTCTACCTTCTTTGCTTTTCTTCTTAGAATGAGAAACGTTTTCTTAGGCTGTACATTTATTGACTGGACGTCATCTTTATTATTTTCATTAGTCTCAGGTTTTAACATAAGCCTTAGGTATTATCAGGTAATATTAGCAATGTATTTTAGTAGCTTTGTTTACTTTTAATTTAGTGTTTCACTCTTGTAACTTCTTCATTCATGTTTTAGTTCAAAGTAAACGTCCGCTTGACTTCTCTTGCTTTGTGCTTCACAGTTCCAAATGATTTCCCTACAGTCTAGAAGATAATTTTGTGCTGTCGCTTCATATTTAAGAATATAAATACAAAGCCTTCTCTGAGTTTTTATTTACCGTAGATAAGATTTTCTAAACCGTGTAAATTCTTAGTGATGGTGGTAGTAAATTTTTAACCCCAGAACTTAAGTTGAGAATTTACAAGGTTTTGAAGAACTCCCTCATGGAGGTGTTTGTTCGTGCAAGCACTGAAGGGATGTCGACGTTCCCTGGGGAACCTTAGTTTCTTGAAAATAATGTCTGCAAAATTGTATACACGAACTTATCGCAAAATATAATATGGACACTAGGTAATTGCACCCTTTATCATTTGACAATTTCATCCCGCTTTATTCAAGCTTGGTTTATTATTTTTGTAGAGTGGATAGAATTCAAGATACAGACAAAATAAAGTGGAACACGAGGCAATTGCCTAATGCAAGCGAAGGTTATATTAACTATCATAAATGATACGTGAGTCGCCACAGAGCAGATCCTGCACTCAACTCGCCTCTTGTCTAGAAAAGATCATAATTTTTATGATTACTGATAATTCTGATGATTTAATAACCACACAACTACCGACATGTTTCGATCTCGTCATAAATACGTGGTCCAGTTTCGTTCTTGAAGTAGAACTTTTCCATGGAAGGCTGGCGACTTAAGGGGACCGTCTACCCTCCGTAAAAACTTTTACAGTTATTATTTCCGATTTTTAGGGTAGACGGTCCCCTTAAGATCTTCAACTCAAATTCTATTGACATTACAACGCTGAAGTTACGCAAGTAATTACAACTTCAGCTTGTGATGTGTGTTCTCAATACGAGTTCACGCTTATCAAGGGCCTTTCAGGGGGTTCGCGAACACTATTGTGGTCATGAACGATTTATGGAATGTGATTTTTTTGCTGTATGAAAAGTATTACTTGCGAACGGCATAAACTGGCCCCGATGTGCAACTGTTGACATACGTAATCCACCAGGTCTTAGCAGACCTCCATTAATCTAAACTACTTCAAAGTCTTATTATGAGTGCAATAAGAAAAATAAAATATAATTGATACGATTCAATGGCGGCTTATATATAACATTAGTAGTATGCTCGATCGCAACCGACTTGGTGTCACAGTCTCCATGTGCACTGTCGAAACAAGACAAAAAAAAAAATTTCTACGTAAAAATTATCCAGCCCCTGATTGACTTTGAGTGTGGCTTCCTTAGCAAGTAAATCTGTACCCAGCCGAAGTTTAAATGATTAGTAAAAGCATATTATCGAAAATTTTTCGATCTAAAGTTACAAATACATTTGTGAAGAGTCTTTAATGAACTAGAACCTTTTCAGAACATCAGTGAGATCGATCTGTTAATTGACTAGTTTAGGTAGTGCAATAGGAATTAACTACGACGTTATAGAGTTGGCATACGTACTAAATTTATAAAAATGTATTGATTCGCCACAAATATGACTCAATCAAAAGACGGTTTTTACGGAGTGTATTTACTGGTGAGCGAGAACCCTCGTTTCTCTGGTCGTACGTACATCGGCTTCACCGTCGACCCTCACCGGCGTCTGCGGCAGCACAACCGCGGCTCACATGCGGGCGGGGCGTGGAGAACAAGCCATAAAGGACCGTGGTGTGTAGACTTATTATTACCCTAAGCACTTTTTCTGTGTTCGGAATTCAGAATTATATTAGCAATATTCTCATCTGTACTATGAATTCATTCTATTTAGGAATTCATTGTTATTTTAGTAATATTATGATCAGTTTCGCAGTTCAGAATTATTTTAGCAATATTCTCATCTGTATTCGGAATTCATTCTATTTCGGATTTCATTGTCTATTCTAGGAATATTCTGATGTTTCGGAATTCATTCTATTTCGGAATTCATTGCTATTTTAGTAATATTCTGATGTTGCGGAATTCGTTCTATTTTTGAATTCTTTCCTATTTTAGTAATATTCTGATGTTGCGGAATTCATTCTATTTAGGAATTCATGGCTATTTTAGTAATATTCTCATCTGTATTCAGAATTCACAGCTATTTCTGTAATATTATTACTTATTTTTTATTTCCATTATTTCGTAGTTTTCTTGTTAGAGTTTCGTAATTCGCTATATTCACACTAGAAGTAAATTATTAATCTATAAAATTTGCTAGATAATATTCATTTTAGCCTATTTCCTATGTACAAATTTTGAATAATTTCTTTCATAGCCTATTCCATTATTTTGAACTCGAAAACCGAACCGGTAATACGTCGCCCGTTGATGACCGAGTTGTATATCATTCTGCAAAATTTATACGGAATTTATAATTTATTTAATTTTTTAATGTATAAAATTTTAAATAAATATATAATTTATTTTCAAATATTTATTTATTTATTTTTTTATTTATTCTAACTGCAATTAAAAATTTATTTTTCAGGTCCATGGTCTTAGTGACACATGGGTTCCCCAACGAAGTCTCGGCTCTGAGAGTAAGTTCAGCTTACGTAGTGTAACACATGCCCGGAGATCACGTACCAACGTACCACCATTGATAGAAAATTATACATTTTTTCACAATTTCATATAATTAAGAATTAGAAAACTTAAAATTTTCATCCATAATTATTTTTCCATATATGTCTTTTCATATTGCATCAAAGTTATTCCTACTTTCCATGAGTAAATCCTGAAATGATTTAATTTAGCATGAGGTCCTTGTTACTGGAAAATCACTTCACGCTGGGGAAAATATTACTTACGTTCAAGTGATTATTTATTTGATTATCCACTATAAAAAACCGTTGCTTGAACTCACGATCAGATCCATGTACGGTAATTATTTTCATATATCGCCAGTGATAGATCAATGTAATTACAAAATCGCATATATTAATGACCATGCAAAATAGGCCAGTGATACATCAATGTAATTAAGATATGGTACATATTAATAACCATGTACAATAGACCAGTGATAGATCATTGTAATTAAGATATGGTGACCAATGTATTAAGATAGACCAATGTTATTAAGATATGGTGACCAATGTATTAAGATAGATCAATGTAATTAAGATATGNGACTAATGTATTAAGATAGACCAATGTAATTAAGATATGGTGACTAATGTATTAAGATAGACCATTGTAATTAAGATATGGTGACTAATGTATTAAGATAGACCATTGTAATTAAGATATGGTACATATTAATGCCCCCGACAGGTAGAGTGGCCCTGGCCAGTGATAGATCAATATAATTAGGATATGGTGACGGCCAATGATTAAGATAGACCACTGTAATTAAGCTATGGTGCATATTAATGCCCCCGACAGGTAGAGTGGGCCTGGCAGCACCCAGAAGCCAGTCGTCGGCTGCGTGGCGTGCCGCGCAAGAAAGCCTCGGAGTCGCGACTGGCGTACAGCGTACGGCTGCTGGGCTGCCTCCTTCAGACGCCTCCGTGGTGCGCGCTGCCTCTCACTGTCACGTGGCTAGAGCAGCGCTACTACATCCCCTTCACTGTTGAGTATACATCCCCTTCACTGTTGAGTATACAGTCTCTTCACTGTTGAGTATATATCCCCTTCACTGTTGAGTATACAGTCTCTTCACTGTTGAGTATACAGTCTCTTCACTGTTAAGTATACAGTCTCTTCACTGTTGAGAATGCAGTTTCTTCACTGTTAAGTATACAGTCTCTTCACTGTTGAGAATGCAGTTTCTTCACTGTCTATTGAATAGCCAATGCTACGACTCCCCCTTCACTGTCAGTTGATTAGGCAACGCAACTATCAGTTTTCAAAGTCTGTAAGTTGGATAAACCCAGTCACACGTGTCGATAGTTCTTTAAAAAATATAACTCAGTACTCACTGCAGTGAGTGACAGAGAGCGCATTTTCTCGTCGACGAAAACGTGAAGTCACTGACGGACAGACAGACGGACGGACGGACATGGCGAGCACAATAGTGCATTTTTTCCATAAATGAGAAAATGCGCTAAAAATTAGTGCCATTCCGATGATAACGCAGTGAAAACGACTGTAAAATAACAGTTCTCCACTCTGGTGGCAAGCTTTTTGACGATTGCATGCAAAAGCTGGACCCAAGATGCGATAAGTGCCTCATTATTAGTGGGAATTAAATAGAAAAGTAGGGTAAACAATACTAGTTTGAACTGTATAGTTTTTTTAATGATGCACGTGTTTTATATTTCGAAACGGTACTCACATTAAAAACACACACTCTACACACGTTTTTATCGAGAATACCGAGGATGCGATGTTACTGTGTGGCTTCTAGAACTATAAAGGCCATAAAATATACATTCTCCCGTCCTTTCATTCCATTCATACTCAAGTTTGCTTAAGCCACCCATTGTGTAAATTTCGTTCTCAGGTGTGAATATATTTTTGTCTGCCACAGCAAGACCTGCATCCGCCTCCCCACATGGTGGTCAGAACGTGCGACATCAGCGAACTGAAGAAGTCGAAGCGCCTGCCTGCTGATGAAGGCGCTGACGGAGGTCCTGCCATTTGTGGGCTGTGCAACGACTCAATGGACGTTTTAGATAGAATAAGGTGAATATAGAAGAATATATTATAGAATAAGAATGCATTTACATTCAATGTAAATGCATTCTTTTCGTAATGGATTTAATATTTGGAAATTTGCAAGAAAATTTGATGTTATACGTTCACTTGTGATGCTAAAACTTTAGTTTTTTCGTAGCCTAAGCTTATTTTGTACTTATTCGATAAGAATTGACTAAAAATTCGGGAGATTTTATAGTTAGAATAATAATAAAGTTATCTTGTGACCTGATAAAATGGTCATCTTAGCTTGGGGACAACTTAAACCAAATTCGTATCTGTTGCAGATGTACCCACGATGATTGTTATCTGGTTAGTCACCCATTGTGTCTGGGACGTCTCTTGCTATTGCAAGAAACCGTTCGTCGTCACCCTACCCAGTCTCTCCCGACTTGGATCCAACTTAACACGGAAGATAGCCGCCACGCTCTGACATCGTCCCAACGCGGATCAAAAAATTTATCCACTGGAAGTCAGCTCAAGAAATCTTCACAACCGACCACCTCACTGGATGTCAGTGTCGTGGCTCCCCTGATCCCAGTGGACGGGACATGTCCAAGATGTAAAGGGTACATCCTATGGGGGGAATTGGTCCGTCCCCTGAGCGTGGCGTGTGCGAGCAGCAGAGGGGGTGACCGTGGTAAAGGTGTGTGGGTTGCCCATGAAGAAGAAAACGAAGAACGTGAGTCTGACTTGACCGACGATGATGAAGATGAAGATCATTGGACTAACCTACTTACACAAAAATGAAGACAGATTTACCTCTAACGAAAAGTAAATTGATGGCAGACAATGCCATATTTTAATATTATAAAATAAAACTTTTTGCACTGGCTTCCTTTTCCTCAGATTTACGAGTCGTCATTCTTTGGTTTTGAACGCAAATTTTTAGTGCACTTACTTTGTTTTTCGTTTTTGAAGGAATTTTACCTCCGTAGTTAAATTTAGAATGAATTTTCTTATCGAAAGCTTCATTGAAAGATGAATTATTAGATTGGCAGCAACATGACGTTCACTCTCGCATGAAAATTGGGCGCTGAAAGGTGGTTAACTAAAAAATTTTGATTATTTTATCGAGATTTTCAAGGAACCAGTGTGGTGAAAAATGACTCGTAATGACTTCATAACGAGGTCAGAAAGTATAGTCGTTTACGCGATAAACATTTATTTTTTCACAACTGGCACTAGTGGCCAAGTGGTTACAGTTCAGAGTACCAGGATTGGAGCAGAGAGGCGCCGGCTCGATCCCCATCTCTGTGCATCAGTTTCTGGTCAGAATCGGCAAGGAGGCCGGGCGGTTAAGCACAGCAGAATTGTAGCAGTGAGTTTCGTGTTCGAGACCGCAACAAGCTGTGAATGTTTTGCGGTGTTAAAAATCGGCGATAGGCCTACGGCCTAATAAGCGCTGAAACCGCTATTATACTTATTATTATAAGCACCTACCATTCCAGGCCATTTGATGCTCAAAGCGTTGCGGCCGATAAGGTTGCGTCTCGATGCTGTCAGAGTTGCAGGCTGGCCAAAGAATAAGAAACTAACTACGTGTGAAAAATAATCCTAATTAGTACGGCAATATCTGGTAAATATATACGCATTTTGGATACATTAGCTTTCGGCAGAAATTTAAAGGCACTCGGTTGTGTAACGACTAAAATTTATTCAATTATCAGCTCCCTGTGAGCGCTCGGCGCAGTGATAGCATTAAAAGCTCAAGGCTACGTATTTTGGATCAATTCATTTCATGCATTAAAGGAAGCATGCAACCTTTCATTTAATTTAAATTTATCAATTAATTTATAGTATTCGAGGTACAACGTTACGCGCTTTGGGACAATATAAATCTTGCATCATAGGCGTTGACTTGAGTATAAGCGATAAAAATGGTAGTCAATTAGCAGCTTAATTTTAGCGAGCGGAGCAGTAATTACGCTAGGCAGCTCGCAGTACACGAGCTTCTCCGCTGTCAGTCAAGCGATGTTGTGGTTGGCTGCTTTGAAGAGAAGGCGCGACCGCAAAGAAAAAGAGAGAGGGAGGGGGAGAGGGTTTAAAAATGACAACGAATGATGAGCGACGACTGAGCAAACAAAAAACATAAAAATAAGTTAGAGGTGGAGGTTTTGGCAGCGGTCAGCTGATGGGTATACAACGTGAGCCCTACACTATTATGGGCCGAGCTCTAGCTTGTAGGAATACGGCTCTTTGGTAAATGGGCGTGAAAACTTTTATTTTTATTACTATCATACTATATCTAAAATTTTAAGTACCCGAAACAGTTTATGGATATAAAATGTATCAAACTTAAATAATTTTGACAACAACAAGCTTTCCAATACATTCAATCATGCCATTAAAGAAACGGTAATCCAATTGCATATGCCTTTGAAAAGCATAATTAACAAATAGATATTCCATCTATTTGTTAGATACTTTCTATAAAGTAAAGACAGACGGTAAAGAAGTTTACTCGCGATGTAAAAACAAGGTGGACATTCAGAGCAGTTTCACATGGTTCCCTCTGAAGAATAACTTTGCAATCTAGTTTAGAAAACTACATCGTAACTAATGACATTTAAATTATCTCCTGGCTTTTTTCTGTCATGAATTCATACAGGGGCTGCCAAAATTTAGAGCTGAATCCCAAAATCTGTACAATCAATTTTTGTGAAAAAAATCCGTGGTCATGTAGAATCAAACTTTTAATCGATAAATCCACGCAACATTTTCGATATTTTTGAATCGATAAATCCACGCAAAAGTCAATCACGGAACGAATTGAGTTCGGTCAGACTGAAAAGTTTTAAATGTTATAATCGGTACCAGGTGTTTGCCCGAGAAATCACCGCAACCTTATTAAGGAAGATCTCGTCTACCTGAGCTTCAAACGATCTGCAAGGCTAAGAGGGAGTATAGTCTTGTCTTGGCGTGGCTGCAAGTATGAACGCTACAGGCCGCATGCCTTCACAAACATTAAGATGCGGACCTGGTGATTGACATGCCCCACGTTACCATTACTCTGAGTTATGAACGCTACGCTCCATGTTATGTTCTTTGGAGCGGTGCAAGTCTTCGGGCTGATCGCTGACATATGTTGCGCTGAGGGGAAACCGAGTTCAGGCAACGTGCGAGGACCTTGAGTTCCCATGAATTTCTAATAAAAAAGGAATTTATCTTATATTTGTTACACGTGTAATATGAAACATAGTTTTCGTGCGGGCGCTCGTGGAAAATTTTATCAAAACTCACATTTTATTGCAAAACTTGGGCCGACAAATTTGAAAACAACCGTTAAAAACGCGTATAAGTAATAGTGCATAATTAAATACAACTTAAATCTGTGATTGAATCTGCTAATAAATCTGTGGTTAAATCTGTGATTAGAACAGTGATTAAATCTACTAAAATTACATTGAACCTGATAGAAAAGATATCAACAAAAATGAGTAGGCGTGTTTTTTTAGTTGTTATATTTTCAAAGAATGTTTATTTCCTTCCTATTTAATATAAATTGTTCGGCACATTTGCAAATCAAAAGTTCTGTTTCCATGAATGAACGATTAATTTAGAACGTTTCCATAGTTACGCATTAGAAACGCCATATATAGTTCCCGCATTAAGAATGTTGCCGTAGTCACCGCGTTACGAACGTTTCTGTAGTTCCCCCCGTTATGAACGTTTCCGTAGTTACCGCGTTAAGAACGTTTCCGTAGTTACCGCTTTAAAAACGTTTCCGTAGTTACCGCGTTAAGAACGTTTCCATAGTTACCGCGTTAAAAACGTTTCCGTAGTTCCCGCTTTAAGAACGTTTCCGTAGTTACCGCGTTGAGAACGTTTCCGATGTTACAGCGTTATGAACGTTTCCGTAGTTACCGCGTTATGAATATCTCCGTAGTTACCGCGTTATGAACGTTTCCGTAGTTACCGCGTTATGAACGTTTCCGTAGTTACCGCGTTATGAACGTTTTTGTTTTAACGCGTTAAGAGGATTTCCATAGCATCACAAAAATTCTTTCATTTACAACTCATAAAGAAATGTGAAGGTGGCAGACATTAGCTGAGGGATGATGACTTCTACATAAGTTCGTAAAAATAATCTCATCTTAATATTATAACGCTGTCTTTTAATAGTTTTTTATTTAATGGTTTTCGTCTATTTTGTTTTGGATAAACTTGAAATTATTCAACTAATTCATTTAACCCCGAATCTGACAGCTGTTAATCAGCTGTGTTAGCTCGATTAGGCCATTATAACTTATATTCATAAGACCAGACGAATAGATCGTTTATAGCAATAAACGATCGTTCAACTAAAGACCATTTCTAAATTAGAATTTTCTGAATCTATTGGATTTTTTTCTTCCTATTTAAGCAAATTGAAGTATGCAAATAAAATAGTTTACTTTTATACTCCTACTTCCCTGCGTTGCTTTCACCACGAGGCCAAATTGTGGCCTGAATATGAAGAAATATCAGTTAATTACGCAAAAAAGTCTAAAAATAAGAGTCTTCACGTTTTATATACAATTTAACATTTTTCGAAATATTGGTGAAATGTTTGAATAATTTTCCCTGCTATTGAGAAAGTTAGATAGATAATGTATTGTTTAAAAACTCAATGCCATTCAATTTTATAAATATCATGTATGACCCATAGGCCAAAAACTGTAATTATAAAGATCAAGTAATGTAGAACAATTGTTGGAGCCATATAATTCAGTTTAAAACAAATGTTTAATTCACTATAAAGACCAACCATTAAAAATATTTCTAAACGACAAGGACCGGATGACAAACAAATGTCTTGAATATTAGGAGTAAGTGATGAAGATGAGAGGGTCTCGCGGCTTAGGCAAATAGCAGCGGTTATTTTCATAGCACCGCGAAGGAGTCAGTGTTAGGACCCAGCACATTAAGAGGCATGGCCCAGCGCCAACTATTGCAGACTGGCCATGAGGGCAGAGATATGATGCATACGCTTCCTCCCTTGCCGCTCCTATGTTGGTAATGTTATCAATGTATATAGGTTGATTTGCTGCCGCCAATATGTTGGTATGTATGTATATCAATGTATGTAGGTTGATTTGCTGCCGCCCTTAATTTTTATGTGAGCAGTATTATTTAATGTATGTAGGTTGATTTACTGCCGCCCCTATGTTGGTAATGTTATCAATGTGTGTAGGTTGATTTACTGCCGCCCCTATGTTGGTAATGTTATCAATGTGTGTAGGTTGATTTACTGCCGCTCCTATATGTTGGTAATGTTATCAATGTATGTAGGTTGATTTACTGCCGCTCATAGTCATAACATTGGACGAACGGAAACTGATGTGTAAAGTATGGACTTCACTATTTATATGTCCAAATTTTTCAATGTTTTTAATTGTGGCATTTCAAAATTTGAATTTTAAGCGTTGTAGAAGCGTCTTTTTACTTGATAATGTTTAATATTTATTTGCAACGATAGCATACCGACATGTGGATCAACCTCCCTGATAGCATCGTTGACGCTCCGAGTATGAACGCCTTCAAGAACAGACTAGACGAAGCTATGCAGGAGCATATGTTCAGTCTTGAAATGCCTAGCACCTTACGGACCAGGCAAAAAGTCCAGCAGCTATCTCAATCAATCGTCAGTTATGGAAAGATCGGGTTACAAAGGCAGGATCCCTTATGAATCAAGTCACGAAAAATTCAAGAATCGGCTACAGGTCATGAGCCTATTTCTTCAGTGCCGGCACTTCTATTCAATTCTATTGAAATTTCCGTCTTAAGCGTCATATTTTATATTAAAGCAAGGGTCGATGTTCATGAACAACTTCAGATCAGCAAAGAAGTAAA